CTTTGTTACTCGCATAGGTTCAAGCATGTCCACCTATGCGTGTAGCAGACTTAGTGTCATTATGTGCATCTCTGGAGACTTTAACGCCGGGAGTAAGAAAGTAAGCGACAGTGTCAAAATTGCAATGATTACTTTAGACTAAAATTGATGACTTTAAGCCAATAAATGTGTGGCAATTTTTGGAAATTGTTAAGAATTTACGGCTCATAGTGACGTTTCATTAAAATATTTCATAGAGAATGAAATATTTTTACTTTTTGACAGTCATTCAAAAGTTCAATTGTTTTCCGAGATTTTTGATGACGATTCCTTTTTAGGACAGATACCTACCAATTTTTGATAATTTTGAAGGTGCCAAGATAGCACTTTAAGACACTTCCGCTATCTTGAAGTTTTGAAATTCAAAACTTTGAATGAAAATTCGACCTCTACGTGAAAGACATCCACTGCCACCAAGTCTCGCAAAAATGAATCAAGCAGGATCCGAGATAGCATTTTAGGCCACATCCAGTATCTTGGATTTTTGAATTATGAAAATTTGAGTTGGAATTCAAGTTTTCCGTCAAAAGATGCCACCTGGTACCGAGTTTTAAGAAACGTCCTGTAGTGTATTGACGGTGACAATCGCGTGATCCTCTGCCATCAACTCTAGGCGATACTCTTAAAGGCGCTCTGAGCAACTATTCCACCTCGGAAGTATTGCACAGTATCAGACGAAATTGAAGGCGCACTAACGTTGACAAATTGACTGGTAGCGTTTATCGTACGATTTGCGACTCCTGTTCGATCAATTTTTTTGAAACTCAGTACCATGTGGTATTTTTTGACGGATAACCTGAATTTTAACTCAAATTTTCATAATTCAAAATTTCAAGATAGTTGATTTGGTCTAAGATGCTATCTCGGCACCTGATTGTTTCTTTTTTGTGAGACTTGGTGGCAATGGGTGTTTTTCACATGAGGTCGAATTTTCATTGAAAATTTTCAAATTCAAAAGTCGGAGATGGCGGATGTGGCCGAGAGTGGCATCTTGGTGCCTTCGAAATTTATTAATAATAATTAATAATTATCCGACTTTGCAATCGAGGTATCTAACCTTTTTAAGTTCAGTTTCGAATCTATGTACTCTCAGCTATCGACTCGCTCTTCAACCGTTATCGGACGAATCTGCTGGGTTTTTTTTTTTTTTTTTTTTTTTTTTTTTTTTTTTTTTTTTTTTTTAATTATTCATGTATTTATTTTTTTATTCCATTTCCAAGTCCAACAGGAGTCGCATATCGTAAGATCTGTGGGACTCTACGGATACCAGTAAATTTACATACGTTAGTGCGCCTTCAATTCCGTCTGATACTGTGCAATACTTCCGAGGTGGTATAGTTGCTCAGAGCGCCTTCAGGAGTATCGCCTCGACTTGATGGCGGAAGATCACGATTGCCGCTGATATTACACCCTAACTCGTGCGCAGTTACACATTTTCTCATCACCGACGGTGAAAAAAAAATATCCATACCTCAATTTGCAACGTTGCAACTTTTTCACTGCCTATTTTGAACGCGTAAACGAATATGAACACTTTAAAATCTGCCGTGATTTTTCCGAGATAAGACAAAATACATTATTTGAATGTGCTGCTAGCGAGCTGACAATAACAGTAATTGTCATTTAGTACGTTTCGGTGTCTTATTACCTCTTCGGGCCCATTTACGTCCTGAGTTATAACATTTTGGGTCTGCTTTTGTTCGTTCGAGGATTTCTACCTACCACTTCTTATTCTCCTGTTTAATTTAAGCATAAAGTTTAGACATTAGACTGAAATACAACATTCAAATTCAACAGTGATTGTAATTATCAGCTCGCTAACAGCACATTCAAATAATGCTTTTTGTCATATCTCGGAAAAATCACGGCAGACTTAAAGTGTTCGTGTTCTTCTACCTGTTCAAAATAGGCAGTGAAAAAGTTGCAAATCGAGGTATGGATGTATTTCATCTCTCCGCCGATGATGAGAAAATGTGAAAATCCACACGTTCTGGGGTGTAGTGTCGGCGGCAGTCGTGATCTTCTGCCATCAAGTCGAGGCGATACGCTTGAAGGCGCTCCGAGCAACTATTCCACCTCAGAAGTATTGCACGGTATCAGACATGATTGAAGGCGCACTAACGTAGACAAATTGACTAGTTGACATAATTGAGGAGGCATCGAAGCCTTTTGAATGGGTTCATCTCGAAACCCAAAATATTACTGCATGAAGTTGCTGTGAATAACCACTCAATTTCTGATCGTTTCATTTTGAACGAGATGGACATTTTAGCGGGTTTCTGTCGGAAAGTGCGATGAAAAACATGTCTTATGGAGCTACATCATTACTAATGACCTGTCTGGTAGGGCTCTGCTAGCACTTAAAAGATTTCACAGTACAGGAAGACCTGATAATTTTTACATTAAATGAATCCAAAGAAAATGGATGAAAATACTTACTTGGGTATTTGACGACGAAAACCTGGTTAAGTGCCTGACAAATTCGTTGTAAGTAAAAGCCACAAACCACTGAAAGCAGACACAATCCACGCGGTTTCACCAAACCATGTCACCACCTAAGGCATTCCTTACCTCAAGAGTAAGTAAACAAATCAGGCTGGGCCACTAGATGCGCAAACATTGCCTGCATAACTTCCGGAACATCATGGGAATTATGGGAATCGATGTAGCGCCGGAAGTTTTGTCTAGATACAAGCTTTTGTGCTCACAAAATGTCAATGTTGCGTGCACAAAAAATGAAGGCGTTTTGAGTTTCCTTGCCCGTGTACTACATAGAAAGCAACGCGTGTGCGATCAAGGCGATGGCGTAATAAAAGAAGGTCGGCAAAAGAATCTGATGAGTTTTTAAAATCTTCTCAAATTTTTGCAAGTAGAGCATGTTGGACGTATTTTAAAAAGAAGAAAAAAAACTATCTGCGTTGTGACGTGGACCCTCAGATTCAATGGAACACCTACATGTCGATGGCTAAAGTACGAAACCACGTAGCTTCATAACGGTGTTTCAAAATTTCCGCTCCTAGTTGATTTTTTTCCATGAGAAGTAAGCCAACTTAATAGCTCAAAATGTATACATAATATGTTACTAATAAAGAAGAAAATGCAAGGAAGTTTTCAGGAAATTCCATTGACTTGTTTTTGGGAGAAAAATTAAGGATGACAGGAAGTCGGCAACGTTGCAAACGAAGATACGTTGTTTCGCAATGAAATCATTGATGTGCTGTCCAAGAAAAAAAAACCCTAAAATGAAAATGTACCAAGAAAGCTGAAAATTGCTGATGGCAGAAACTTTGAAACCGTAATGTGAACTCAACTGTCGCCTACTCATTTTTGCCAAAATTGTCAGTTAGGTGGTATTTTTTGTTAGCCCTTGATGCGTGTTGTGTCATTTTTAAGTTTTGGCACCAATAAAATTGGTAGATAATAGCATCACTCACCACTTGAAAACACCCACTATAAAACTGCGATGCGCTTATAAGTAAGATGTGTGTAAACAACCATTTGAGGGTACAATATTGTGAGGAAAAACCATGCTAGTTTTAAGCTGAGCAGAATAAGTTACTGTCGTAAATACTACATATAGAATATAGGGTTTGAGCCAATGTTTCTGTTTTGATCCTGTATTCAAGAATTCGATCAATAAAACCCAATTTTGTAAACCATGCACCTGCCGACAACTGTCTGCATTAGGTCATGTAATAATCTCTGAATCATTGGATAAATGAATTGATTTTCTTTTCTCTTCTTTTCTTTACTCTTTTTTTTTCTGAAACCACAGCCCGTCATATTTTACTCTTCCTTCTATGAAACCTATATGCGAAGTAATGAAATATAATCATTTTGAATTGTACGTTGAAGTTTTTACACTTCGTTTCGTTTTTGAAATGATCACAGAATATACGAATTGCCATAGAATTAAATTTTAGGTTGCAGAAAAGCCTTTCACTTGACCTAGACCCACGGAACCCACTTCGATCAGGAAATTTTTTAGCATGCTCCTTTTGAGCTGCTGACCTTCAATCTCTAATTAATATTGGTCCAGTAATGTAAAATGATTTTTTTTTTATTTCAAAGGAGCACAAGAAACTTCCATTTATTCTGGGAGTCAACATCTTGTCATGATTTCTGAAAAAAGTCAGAAATATTGTCTGTTTTTGAGGACCAAATTAATGGCCAAAAAGCAAAACTTCGTATCCTCGTTTGCACTGTTGCAGACTTCCAGCCGTACTTTCTTTTTTCTTTGGGAAACCAGTACCTGTATTTTCTTTAAAACTTCCGTGTTCATTTTCTCTGTTAGCAGAATATTTTTCAAACATTTCAAGCTTTAAAATTGGCTGGTTATCCTTTGAAAAAGTAAAGTAGAAACGGCAATTTTGAAACATCCCAATGGGGATACAAGGTTTTGCACTTTGCCCATCGAAATATGAAATACCATGCTCTTATTGAGTTGTCGACTTTGGATCACTATTTAGTCTAAGGGGCTTTAATTTTTAGTTTTCAAGGAACACAAATGACTTTACTTCACTTCTATGGACCACATTTTGGTATCACTTCTCACAAAAGTCGAAAATACTGTCTGTATTTAAGAACTGAGATTTACATGCTGTACTGAGCCGCTGAGTTCCTGACATTTGAACTTAATTCTGAATGAATGAAAAAATAAATTCTTCCTTAGTATATAAACAACTTGAGAGGCTGTGGTACAACTCAGCACAGGAAAGGACAATAAATTAAAAAGTACAAAATTGCGACAAGATAAGTGTAAATAATGTAAGGGAGAGTAAAAAATATGAGGCTGGCAATCAACTATGCAGTTCCTAAGAGGACACCATTTAAACCTAATACCACTTAAAATTTGCTCTGACCTGGACTGATTATAACCCGCGCAAATGCAAAATTGAAGGACAATTAGAATCATCCAAAATCGAAGACTGAAGGAGGGAAAAAAAACGAGGCCAGGAAACTGTGGTAAAAATATCAGTCATTATTATTCTTAAGACAACTGATAACAGAAGTTCCTGATTCCTTCGACAGTAGAAATTGGCTAAATAATTGTAGAGCATCATTTTTACACGTGAATCATAAAATAAATAGGGGTAAAAAAAGAAACAAAACAATTAACAGGTGAAGACACGGATCAGGGGGAAATCACAAATCGTTAGCCGATACAAAAGTTGAAAAAAGAAAAAAACGAGTAAATAAAAAAAAAAAATGAAAAAAAGGCGAACCCACAGAAGTACGATTGGTGATCGCTCCGTTCTTTGATCCTGATTTGAACCACAAGGGTTGTTTCACGAGGAATATCACTTGATCGTTTGCTCGCTTTACGAGACAACGGTTGACAATGGATGAAGACGCGCCTGGTGGAGATCAGACACTTCAAGCTGTTTTCGCACGGATGGCAGCACGCTTTCCAGTGACGGCCTGTAACAGAAAAATGCATTGTTAACAAAATGCTGAAGACCTGATATTCGTCAATTGAAGTAGCAATTCAAAAGTAAACCATAAGTCTGCTTGAATAAAGGTGTGACTCATTTAAAGTAACAGGGCTGCTACAAAATTTAGAAAATAAAATTCCTTGAACTAGGTATTCCTGATTTCTTTGACAAGTTTGAGTAAAAGTGAGAATTGAAGTTATGCCATACAGCCAGAGAGACATACTTGGAAATAATTTCCGGGCGAAATCTGTTGTTTAAAAAGTCAAATCCTTCCTAGAAAGCAAATAGAGGTAAATTAACAATTTTTCCTGGACTTTTTTAGGTTTCCCCTGACTGTGGCAACCCTGAGGTAAGTCACAATTTTACTGCGCTACATTTGCTCAGATAATCAACAGACCAACATTTCTGCAATTTCAGCATTTGGACCAGATTTTACAATTAGGAACTACAATTTCTGGCTCAGTCCAGAAACAGCATGTAAGCCATAGTTTTCTTATGCAGATATTGGTAGAAGCAGATGGTTGCAGGGGACAAAAGAGGTAAAAGTAATAAACTAACCAACGGCAACCGACGAGAGACCGTATACTTAGTATATCATTTTACGTCTTTATTCATGACAACTGCTCCTTATAACCAATACGATTGCTCCATTTTCCCTCTGTCTACGTAGGTTTTTATATCGATTTCAATAATCAGTCCCAAGATTCCTCCTGAAGTAGATTCAATGAAGCTTCAACGGATTCCTCAAAGGATAGAATTTATTATCACGTTTTTCCACAACAATAGTGCCAGAGATCAGCATCAATTAGGCAGCAATTTTATTGCAATAAATCAAAATTTGAGGATGGATTTCATAACATTGCAATTAATCATTCCTAAATTCCATTAATCTACGGATTTTTAGGTTTTTCAGTTTTTTTCCTTGATTCTGAGGCGTACAGTAAAAAAACCTGACTTTGCCTGAATTTCTAAACATATTATAAATACAGCCGACTTAGGGCCAGTTCTGTCATCCCAAAGTAAGCATTAACCTCTGGATTAAATTTGAACAGGTGTACTGAGAAAAAAACCGAAAACATAACATAAACTGATGGAACAATGAACAAGGTAACCAACTGTGAGCTGAAATGATTGGAAATAAAATGTAGTCAGGAAATAAATACATTTCATTTTGTTTCCCGGTGGAGTCATATTTTTTGTGCATTTCAGTTTTTTAATTATACCATTCTTAGCGTTTTATTTTCAGCCTGATGTACAGCTTTATCATAGGAATACCTGACTTGATGACGTTGAAGATACTAATAAATCGCAAATTTCTGAGATTTCGAGAAAACGGTGGATGACGTACCTGGAAACCTGACTTAATACTGGCGACAGAACACCTAGACCCGCACGTTTCGCACTGTAAGAAGAAAAGCCGCGTGTCTTTCTGCAGAATAGTTTCTGGAGACCGACAGGTGTGGCAGGTGACGTACTCTTTGATGTACCGCCGCAGAACATTCTCAATTTGTTTCTGCTGGAATCTACCCTTGATGATGAGTTGGTGGTTTCCGTCCACAGAGCCGCTTGTACCCAACTCAGCTAGGAGAAAGTCTAATAAGTGCTTCGGCAGACGATGTAGCCTGCGAACAGAGGTATGTATAAATATACGAACCGAAAGTGTCGAAAACAAACGAAACTAACGGAAAAAAACCGAGGTAACAAACTGTGAGCTAATTAAATGAGAAAACAGAGAAGAATCGGAAAATTAAAAAACTCAAACTCACAAAATAAAATTAAAAAGCCTTTTTAATTTTATTTTGTGAGTTTGAGTTTTTTAATTTTCCGATTCTTCTCTGTTTTCTCGTATGTATAAATGTATTGTTATGATTGCACCTTATATTCAACTTGTGAAAATGAGCGGAGGAGTATCAAGAAGAATAAAAAGAAAGCAAAGTGAACAGAAAAGAGAGAAAAAAAGATACCAAAATAAAAGAGAACGAGCAGACAGAAAGAGGAGAAAAGAGAAACAAAATAGGAATAAATTTTTTCGCCTTTAATTTTTTTACTGTAAGTTTTACATTCATTTCACGTGAGAAATCCTGAAACTTGCCTTCTAATGAATGCATTTTGATAGTTTTACAACTGCAAGTATAACAGTTAACACTAAGAGGGATTTAAATCTGAAGGAAGCACTGGGCAAAAATTCCCTTCAAAACCATGCAATGCAAATGAAAAAAAGGACCAAACTCACAACTGCTGAATTCTTACAATTTGGATTACATTTTGGTACTTACGTTTTACAGATTTCTTCAAAGTTTGCAAACGATGTTTTCTTCGTTCCAATACGAACAACTTGAGGAGGTCTCATGATGAACTTTTGTTTCTTTCCGGCGACCATATCAGGGTTCTTGTCGCGCATGATGTCGAAGACGCGAGTCAATAGTTCATCATATGTGTAATCTCGGTCGGAACCGAGCCACGACAAGCTCTCATCTTCACCTACTGCAAGACAAAAAATTAATAAGAAATACAAAATTTGAAGGACATAAATGGATACAGAAGATATGGAATACAAAAAAATAAAATGTATGCTATAGACTATAATAGAGGGTATAGGCAATAGAGTGGTGAAATTCTGCGCCTACACAGATCTCTGTAGAATTCAGGTTACGAAATGGTGAAATTCTGCGCCTACACAGATCTCTGTAGAATTAAGGATACAAGATTTCGATGGTCTATTCAAAAGGTAAAATAAGACTTTGCTGCGGTTTATTTCTAAGGCCACTCATACTGTAGTATTTATATCGATTGCCGAAGAGCGATACGACGTATTTCCATTGCCGTAATTCAAAATTTCTGCTCCTATTTTATATTTAGTTTTTTGAAGAGAATCAAACCAACTTCATAGCTTGAAATTTTACTGACGTTCTGCTAACAGAGAAGAAAAATCACAACAGTTTTTAAAAAATTACATTGATTAGTTTTCCAAAGAATAAATGAAGGATGAAAAGAAGTTTGCATCGTCATGAACGGAGATGCATGGTTTTGCATTTCAGCCATTGATATGGATTGCATTTTACAATTAAAGCACTACTATGTCTAGCTCATTCATAAAAGGAACTATCTAAACAAGGAAATTGTAGCTCCTTTTCTTTTTTATAGAGGGAGGAAAAAAATGCTTGAAAAGCATTACATTGCACAAGAGAAAGAGAGAGATAGATAGCAGTTTGCATGAGTGTTTATTTGTTTAATTTGACTGGATCCCATTTTTGAAAAAGGGCATAAAGATGATAGAGATTCTACAGCACTTATGGTTTTCTACAAATATTTTATTCGATTCTTTCCAGTTCTGATCAGTAGTTGTGGACTGATGCAGGTGTTCCAGTAAAACGATGAAATTTTTATTATTGTGTAATTAATGTTCAATTAAATTAAACACCAAAACTCGAACAGTTCCCAACAGCAACTTACCCACTTCAGGGCTGTGACTTTTCTCCGACTCAAGGCAGCATGTTGGGTCAAAAGCAGAAAGAAATCAAAATAATTTATTCCGTAAATACCAAGAATTTTGCAAGTGCTGAGTGATAATTTGAATAGTGAACACATGCCGAAATAAGGTTTCCTTAGAATGTGAATAAATTTTTTGTGAAAAAAAAGAAGACCTTCAGTTTGTATAAAATGTACAAAATATTAAGCAAATTTGAATGGTGTGATGATTGCAAACCATCTTGTGACATTAGTTAGAACCAAGTCACATTTTGCAAATTGTTTCGTAAACTTTATAAAAACAAAGTTGTCTCTTTTTTTTTCACAAACTATAGGTTTTTTTGAACAAGACTTTCTTCTTGGCATGTCCATTTTCTGCACACAGCTTTGTTTACTGCTGGGCGTTGCTGATTTCTACAATAATCCAAAAGATTCTCATTGAAGTTGATGATGAAGTAAGTGATGTTAAAAGTTAGGTTCTCAGCGACATCTTGCATGTTTGCACGCAACTCTCATAAAATTATGTACAGTCCGTACAATTTGTGTTCTTTCATAGGACTTTCACGACCTGAAGACGGCTCAAATTTATCTCAAAATAATCTATAAAAAAATCACACTTATTTTTCTTCCTCAGAGAGTTAGGTACGAGAGATCTGAAAATCTGACAGACCGCAAAACAAGATTACAAGTTTTTATTGAGTATCTACTGGTACCTCATCATTTAAATTCTTTGCTTTTTAATAATTTTCCGTACCAATTTTTTTAAGGGGGGGGGGGAAGGGTGAGGGGTTCTATAAATCTATGCTTTTTCATTACTTTTTCAGTACTCTGAACGTCTTTCCAACTCGACAAAGGACAGAATTTTTGTACTCCCCTCATTTTCATTATTCTTCCTCCTCTTCTTCTATTTTCTTGTCTTTGCCTCCCGCTTCAGGGGACAGAGACTGAGGACACTAGATAGCCTGACTACAGTTTATTGGGTTTTTCAAATTTCCTTAAAAACCTTAGAACCTTACTATCTTTTTGCCACTTTCTATTTTGCCATGCTAGGGAAGAATGCCATACAAGCCTTTAGACACTGCCATATTTCCTTTGATAAAAAAACGGATTGCATAGGAAAATTATGAATATATTCCTTCAAACTTTCCAGACACTGGATCACTAAACAAGGTACAAAGTTAAGCATTCTGATACATGATTCTTAAGCTTTCACGTAAAACATGATTCGTGGAACGAAAATTACTGATATCAATGTGTAATCAAGATATTTAATGTTTCTTGACACATGAATTCAAACCTCCCGCTCATGAAAACGCAATAATCTCCTTCAGTCAAATCACGTGCTAGGTACACATTCTCCTGATATTTTCTGCTGCATGAAAACATCAGTACCTTGATCTCAACGCTTTGGTTCAGCTATTGCACATTGTTTACACTTTGAACAAAACAGAATGGGAGAGGAACACTGCTCGATTGAGAGGCCCGTCTTTATCGTTGTAGTACAGTGCGCAATGGGCCTGTTGCATGCAAGAGATACAGCCGTGCGAATAGACTTTTAAGAGGTTAAATGACACGAAAATTACGATGGTCACATTAAAAAAGTCTGAAATACACTCCTTACTGCGCAATTTGTGTTGTTAGGAACGCGCTTTTTCAAATTTCCCGCGTCTGGGGGCAGTTTTCTAACGGAAACAATTAACGGCAACTCGTGGCTGTTTCCGGTCAACTAAAACTGACAACATAACCTAAAAATCGGAGCTCGTGACATCGTGAGATGAAATGTAGAGGGATTGCGTTGGATATTTAAAAGTTGATCGATTTGGTTACCGCATAAAGCGTATATGGACCACTATAGGAGATCACGTTGGGTTTGTAAACAAACTGAAGGAAAAAATAACAACAACAACAACGACTCGGCATCTTCCGGAAATCACCGAGCCCGCCGTTTGCTCGTTTCCGGTGATTAGAAAACTGCCCCCAGACGCGGGAAATTTGAAAAAAGCGCGTTCCTAACAACGCAAATTGCGCAGTAAGGAGTGTATTTCAGACTTCTTTAATGTGACCATCGTAATTTTCGTGTCATTTAACCTCTTTAAAGTCTATTCGCGCGGCTGTATCTCTTGCATGCAACAGGCCCATTTGACTCAAGTAGAGTATTGAGTTTTTTGTGACCTGGAGATTCAAATTTCCGGTAACCAATGTAAAATAAAAATGTTGATATCTTAGTTGGGAGTTGATTTCAGTAATTTTCGATGCAGGAATCATGTTCTAGGTGCAATTTTGGTGAAAAAGTCAGAATTTTTAAATTCGTACATTGTCTTATGGTCCATTGTATTCATGATTTAATTTAAAATATCTGAAAATTTCAAAGAAAAATATGAGTAACATTCCTCAAAAATACCTACATCTTTTCTCCAGGGAAATTTGACAACTTTTGAATGTTCACACAGCATTCTTCCTCATCCCTTGCGTCAGTATTCAACTGAAGCACTTATACTCAAGTGTTGATGTACACTTGCAGACTCAAAAATTTCTGGAATTTATCATGACTTTCTAACTATGAAAAAAAAAGACGTACCCATCTTTGGCCATGGGTTAATTATTGAAATTGGTAGACAAAACAATAGATGAAGAAGCCAAAGGGATGATGCTATTGGTTGAAAAGGGTGGTCAGTATAGACTAAGGGAAAAAATGAAGGACTGACAAGAAGATCTCTCGAGTGTTGCCATTAGTTGATCTACCACTAAACTCCTTTGTCCATTGCACCACCAGTAGTCCTCAGCCCATTTGTTACCTTTGAACGTTTCTACCAATAGGATCGCTCCACTTTTCTTTTATCCTCTTCATCTATCAATTTCAAAAATGAGCTCCCTAAACTTCTTCAGCCTCCTCAAAACCTGTGTTACCTATCACTACTTGGCTTATTATACAGAATTAAACCAGAACAGATAGGAAAATAAAATAAAATTGAATAATTTTAGTACCAGTATCTTTGTCCTCTGTTTTTTTACTGTCATCTTCCGCGACTAATTCCTCTAGGTTGGCCTTCTGCTTTTTCTTCTTCTTTTTCGCTTTTGAGAAATCCATGTCTAAATCAAAAGTATCCTGTCAACAGAAGCATTCGATTAAAGTAATTAAGACCTACGGTATTTCTTTTTACGGTGGAGCATAAGATACAATCATAAAACCTTCAGTGATATCACAGGCAAGAGATGTTATACAAATTTTATATCTACCAAGAATATACCCATTAAACGAGTTTTGTGATCTCCTGGATGGACTGCGTTTAGCAGAAAGGAATCAGATCACATTGGCTATTGCCAAATAATTGGGAAATTTAATTTTTTACATGAAAACAGTTGTGCAGATTTTTGTGCAAATTTCAGTTCAATTTTCTGCATGATACGAAGCAAATTCCTTAAAATTTTCAAAAGAATCTGCTCAACTGTCTTTATGTAAAAAATCAAATTGCCCAATTAAATTTGGCAATAGCTGATGTGGCTTGGTTCCTTTCTGCTTAATTCGGTCCAAATATCAACACCATGCAATAGCTACACAGAAAAGATTTAAAAAGGCTCATCTCAATATTTTCACTGCTCCAATACTGGATTAATAATAGTGATTAGAGAAATTTCCACTATCAAACTGCTGAAATACCATCGGTAAGGCTTTAAATTGGTTAAAGAAATACCACAAGCTACAAAATTATGGTACAATATAATTAAATTTTGGAACAAAATTATAGAATGCTAAAACTCCGTACTGTAAATTCAGTTTGTTTTTTTATTACAGTAAGTGTGAGTCCACTTCGAAAATCCAAATCGAAAAACGAATAAGTCAGCCAAACACCTCGATTCATTAGTCGTTATTCGTTATACTGAATTCTTCTAAAATTTAATTCTCGATTCTTCTTAAGTTCTTTCTTTTTTCCTCTCTCTCGTTCTTTGTTTTCTTTTTCATTTTTCCCTTTTTCTTTCTTAGCTTTGTGTTTATTGGTGAATTTTTTTGCTTTGTTAAATGTACATTTCAAAAATGAAATGATCTACCAATCCACCTACCTTCATCTAACGATCTGAGAATCTGAAGGTACTCTTTTATAATGCTTCATGAATGATTATTAACGTTCTCCTCCACAGGAAGAAACCTGAATCCATGGAAATAAAGGGACTGCGCACAGAATACCAAGAAATTCAGGGCTGGCTAAATTTTGATATTTTTTTACATCATATTCCTTACAATCACTCGAGTAAGATAAGCTTTCGGAAACGAAATCAGAAAGTGCCAATCTTGGAAGAAATTGGTCTAAAAAGTGCATTATTTGGCAATTTAACTCAAGCTCTCACATATCAAGTGGCACCGTTGCCACGTCAGGAAACGCCTGAGAAGCAGACTACGAACTACCCATTCACAAATTGGAGAGCAGCTTAAAAAATTAAAAAATTCAGCCATTCTTCTACCACTTTTTATTCTGTGCCATTTCTTTTGGGTTGATGATCAAAGAGACGGAACCTTGAAAGGAATTCAGGGTCTCAAAATAAAATTTATGGAGAGTGATTCTGAAAAATCAAAAGGAAACTACTTACATCAAAATCGTCGCCACCCTCTCCATCACCTGGCGCTCCACCTCCACCGCTCCCAGCTTCAGGCAAAGCGCTCTCCAATTCGTCCAGGTTCAGCGTCTTTTTCTTCTTCTTCTTTTTCTTACTGTCCACTGAAACAAACAAAATTTAAAATCAGATTTCAAAATAAATTTGGTTTAAGGGAAGTCAGGGAAAATCAGGGTTTTTTCCAAAATTGGACGGATTCAACTAGAAAGAAATGACCGTCGCCTGAAAGAAAACAAATTCAAGGCCAGATTCAAGGTGTGCTTCCATTTCTCATTATTTTCAAGCAAAAGAAATCCTTGTTTTGCTTAGATCTATCTTTGTTTGACAGCCTAGCTAAGAATAGACACTGCCAAGTACCCAGTTTATTTCTTCATTGATTAACCACACGATAGGTTTAAGAAATTAAGCAACACAGTGCATAAGTTCTCATCAAATTCTTTAGAAAAATAAAGCAGTCACGCTGAACATTTTCACGCAGGGTTCATGTTATTTTAAAAGTTTCTTGTATTTTGTTTCGGTTAGTAAAGGGGGAAAAAGGCAAAATTCAGCGACATAACCATTTAGGCAGCTCGGACATGAAATTTCCAACCATCATTACTGTAGAATGCCAAAATGACCTGTGTTTTTCATGGTTTTCCCTTAATAGGTTGGTGGCACCCATTTCTATGTTATTCATTTTTTGAAAGTAAAGAGTGCGGTTAGAGTAAGATAAGCCGTTTTATCATGATTGATTTAAAAGATTAACACTCACTTTAAGCTTTATAATGATCTTGAATTTTCTAACCAAACTGACAACCCCAACTGAGCTTCTAGGGAAATTTTTGCATTCTTTTAGGGTCCTACGTGGCACAGAAACCCTGTTTTGAAATGCAAGAAATCGGACCAATGTGAAACAATATTTTTGGTAGGCTCTGATGATGTAGTCAAGCAAGGGAAACTGTGTTTGATGCTTGGCTAAATTCAGCCTCAGGCATCGCCCTGCTGAGTCAATTTGACCGTCAGCATTTTAATTGGTCACATTTTGATTAGCTTTTTCCACCCTTCAAAATGACGTTTGGAAATTTTTAATGAGCTTATTGGTTTTTTTACGAAATTTTACACGAGACAAATTATACTACGACTCCGTAAGAATTCCTTACCACTGCTGCACTACCTCATTCTTATTGTTCATTACCAAATTTTTCCTGCCTAATATAATAGAAAAATGTCCTAAATAATATAGCTTACAATCTAGATCGCCATCAAAATCATCAAATTTTGATGGTTCCTGATTTTCTTTGTCGCCACCCGTCTGCGAGGATTCTGTTGTCTCCGAAGCTTCATTTCCGCCATCTCCCAAAGCTGCATCAATGTCAAACCCGGTCTTCTTCTTCTTCTTTTTCTTCTTCATCGCAGAGGGATCAAAGATCTGAGGACACAAATATGGATTAATTCAGAGGACACTTTAGGAATGGAGCTACAGTCAGCCTACGAATATTCAAAAACCTGCTTACTCTTACTTAAGAGTAAATATGAACATACTTAAGTAAAGCGGTAATATATGCATTCTGGCATGAGCCCTGAGAAACAGTTCCTTTTGATTTAAGATGATTCGTCTAGCTCAAAAGAAGTGGTCAAATTGGCATGCGATATATCGCATCGCTTAGGTAAAAAATCTCGGTCGATTTTAAATTTTTAGCAATACAAAGGAAGATAGCCTCTGCGCGTTAGCCTAAAGAATCATTCTACACCCAAAAATCGGCAAAAATCAGAGAAATGAAAGCAGAATAGTGTTTGAATAAAAGCCTCGCATTCGATTCAGCAATCAACTTCTGTATCAAATGAGAGGTTTTTTTCCAAACACTATTCTGCTTTCAATTCTGTGAATTTAGCCGATTTTAGGGTTTAGAATGATTCTTTAGGCTAATGCGCAGTGGCTAACGTCATTTACTTATATTGCTAAAAATTCAAAATCGACCGAGATTTTTAACCTAACTGATGCGATATATCGTAGGCCAATTCAACCACGTCACTTGAGCTGGACGAATCACCTTACATACATCTGTTAGATTATTGATAGGATTGGGTTTTTCGTCTAGAGATTGAAGGTTACAGTAGGCAAGATGGGGTGCTCATAGTATTACTGTAAATGACTTGACTATGTGCTGAAGAACACATAACTAACTCAGTTCAGAATTCTCATACTATTTTTGCTGAAATAGGCCTGGATCAGAGAGAAGGAGATTTTCTGAGGTTTCCGTCAAAATTTGCTGATCTTGCAAATGAGTGTATACATGCTGAAGGGAACTGAGAGTAGGGTGTGCAATGCAGCATAGTTCTTTTTGGCAAAAATACATCCAATTTGCGTTACAGAAGAGAAATACACTAAGGTAGAGAGGTCAATCTGCAGGAGGACCTCCGATCAGCTCAGTTTTGCAATGGAGTCTCCGATGATTGTCTCATGCTTTTTCATTTTCACGAAGAAACCATTGTTTCTTATAGGGTACATACAATGTGCACTGTCGCCTAGCAAATTTAATCTGTCTTGAACTACAATGCATGCGTTTATTCTCAAACCGGTGAAAATGGACTTATTTCAATTAAATGCGTCCAAATGATAAGGCAACAGTTGCAAAATGCAAAGAGAAGGGTTAGGTTACGAAAGCTCAGCATATGTAAACATACTAGTGTATTTACGGCGGTACATTTCAGGGTAAGTAAACATTCTGGAGGGATTATTATTACGAAATGGATTTGAGTTTCGGATATTAAAGAAGCGAATGCAGGATATTTTATTGATTTTAACAAAAAGATGATGCAACTTAGATTTGGAGGTTAGGGGCGGCCCTTACGCCTCGCGACAGAGGCTACAAGGAAAATTTGAAGTAAAAGAGAGAGTGTAAGTTTCAAGGCAGGTAGAAAATATTCAGGACTTACCGAATCATCTTCAGCCATGATTAATAGTACACAAAACTATGAGAAAGCACAAAAAACTGCAAAAATTGAACAGCTAGACTCTTCCAAAACAACCACGTTTGATGCACGGACGGAAATACACGAAGCACGACGGATGCTTACCGGAAATGGCCGAATGTTAATTATCTCCGAATCCAAGGGCGGAAGTTGCCGAAGTTTGACGGAATTTCACGAGTGTGAGCGAAAGGATGGAGGGGAAGGCAAAGGTCATTGGACCCGCAAAACCTTCGGACGTCCCTTAAAAAGAAATCAAACTTTAACACTTGAAAATTATAATTTAAAAAATATTGAAAAAATTTGTTACAAAAGTGGAGTTATCCCTGTGCGTTCTTTTCAAGGAAAAATTATTGTAAAATATGCATCTGCAAAAAGTTACAAAAAAAAATGGCACCCAATTAAATCCCTACTACCAACATACCAATTAAGGTTTGTTAAAAAAAACTTTTAAAAATCCCTTAAATATTTCAAAAAGACGACTCTCAAAAAAACTGTGAAAGTTTTTGTGATGGGAAACCCTATTGGGCTATTTTTTTAAGTAAAATTAACGAGCGGTAAAATTTAAGTAAAAAGTGTTAAAAAAACTCTTATAATATCAACTGTAGTTTTACGACATGAAAATGTTTTGAAAAAATGTAAAACAAAACTACAAAGATATTTTAAGAGTTTTTTTTTAACACTATAGTCCTTAAATTATAATTCCTGTAAATTTTACTTAAAAAACAGCCAAAAAGGGTTTCCTAACACAAATATTTCAACAGTATTCTTAAGAGCTTTTGAAAAATGTTTTAACAGGTCATTTTTCTACGACGGTTGTGTTAAAGTTTGATCAGCACTCATATTGATGGCTTAAGTGCCAAACCACTTATCTCCATTGCACTGTTTCGAAATTTCTGCTCATAAATCATTAAAAATAAAAAACATAGGTATGCTCTACCCTGGTCAAGTCCACACACACAACTCAACTCATCACTTGATTTTGCAAAAAATGGCACAAGTGCCTTTTTCTCAAGTTCTGGTTAGTCTCACTTCAACCGTTAGAGAGAAGTTAAAAGGTCTGGAAATTCCGAAGAAGAAAAACTCCTCCCAGAGACCGCTTGTAAATACAAATTAGAAAACCTTTCTTAAGATTTTTTGTTTTGATGTACTTAAGAGAGACCCTGCAAGAGAGTAAATAAGTATTGACTCTAAGAATGAACTGAGAAACTTCTGAAAACGATTCAGGGGATAGTCAAAATATCCTGAGAGCATTCTCGTGGCAATTTCAAACTGTGACGAATATGATCCGAAGAATCTCAAAGCATTCCATTATTAGTGGGAATAATCATGGAATATTCTGGGTGGATTACATGTTACTGGTGAAACTGCAGGATTGCAAATCTCAGTTGGCGGTGTTGCAGACTTCTTGTCATACTTTATTTTCTACATTGAAAACTACGAAACGTAATTTCTTAAAAACTTCGGTGATCATCCTTTTTTATGGGAAGACTATTCTGTGAAAATTTCAAGCCATAATGTTGGTCTGGTCTCCTATTTGAAAATAAAATAGGAGCAGAGATTTTTAAATACCGCAACGGAGATATGCATTTTTGCAATTTCAATGTCGACATGCGTTTTGTGCAGAACATTCTGAGAATTTTCCAAGAAACCTTGAGAGAACGCCTAGAATATTTGTAGACCATTTACGGTTCACCGCACAATGTAATCTACAGCAAATTGGTGGAATGTTCTCAGATTAATGTTTACATAGGGAGTTTCCAGTTTTGTATTAACACTGTTACATAACAATAGCTAAAGACGAGAAATTCTACTTTTTTTTAAGAGGGAAATATAACGATCAGTTTCTATTGAAATTTTCTGCGAATATTCTTCCTTCATTCAAAAAAAATCACACAAAATTGCAAGGAAACATGTTGATTAGTTGTTCTTGAAATAAATAGAACATATTCGTAGATGTCTTGAATGTTGCACTTAAAATATCGACGGTGAAAGTCGGCAATCACATAACGCGTTTGCGGTGTCTGAAAATCTCCGCCTATACGTCATTTTTTTACAGGAGAACAAATTGATATAATTTCTTGAAGTTTTTGCAGAATTTTCTTCGCATTGAGAAGAAAAATCATGACAGTTTTAAAGAATTGCCGTTGAGTAGTTTTCCATTTAAAAAATAAAGTATGATAGGAAGTCTGCGACGTCGCAAACCGAGTTATGTGATTGCCGACTTTCACCGTCGATATGCATTTTTTATAGTTAATGATCAATTAAGAATTTTGACGAAAATAGTGCAGTTTTGTAAGCTGCATAATGATGGTGTAAGTCGAAAAATGTATGATTCCAAAAGCAACATTACAAGTCTCAGATCATGTTTTATAGGCATTTCAGAAAGAATATCAGTCAGAAGTTTTTCTTGAAATTTACTGTGAATTTTTTTCACTCATTCCAAATTATTCGCAAAAATTTTGATGAGTTATTTTGGTTTGTCTTCATTTTAGAAAATGAAATATGACCAAAAATATATGAACATAGAAATAAAGGTGCACATTTTTCCAGTTTAGCCAACGATAAAATGTACTTTTTTTTGTATTTTGCATCAAAGTAAATGGACCTCATTTTGCAATAAGGATGCAATGTTTCCATCTCATTTTGGGAACAAGGTATAATATTTCGCACAGTCTCCCTGTGCAGATAATTTCTTTGGCATATGAGCCAGACATTAGTTTCTTATTACAAAATTTAGTCCGAATGATCAAAATATTGGTGGTAACTTTCACTTCAAAATGCCGGGATCTTTCAGGAACTTCTGTCATGTTTTAAGTGTGAATTAAACAAACAGCTGGAGCTTTCCAATAATTACTTTTTAATATATTTATTAGAAACTATGCACAAACTTTAAACAAGTAATATTTTACAAAACAAATGAAGAATCTCAAACAACAAAAAATAATTAAAACTGATTTTCAACTCTCAACAAGGAAACGACTTCTTGAAGATCAGACTTTTGTCTAGAGGAATCATCAGAAACTTAGCTTGAACACGGTTTAAACGATTCTCTCAGAACAAACAGAGACGAAGAAGAGCCAACTTTCTCATTCCTGAATAAAAGCACCTATATGCATGGAAGAAGACATGGTAGATGCAACGTTTTTGAGAGGGATCGAAAAAATACAAATGTCTTCCGAAAGATGCTGCTTAAACGAACCACTACATGAAATACAAATGGAGTGCATTGTACAAAACCAGCAACTACTTTTTTTGGCTTATTACAGAAACAAAGTAAGTGCCACTTATTTCCATGTGCAGATAGGTGGTTTAATAGACGAGTCACAGAAATTAGTCCCTTTTTTAGAATCAGAATGAAAGACTAAACTGTTTGACACCTTTAAACTTTGTGCGCAATTACCGCAGATGATGATAAATATACTGAAACATGTCAAGTTTACTATTGCTTGGTTTTTAGTTTATAAAATAAAAAAATCAGATAAAATTAGCCAATGTCTGCAGGCTGATTGTTGAAATTGGTGGAAAAAACAACAGACAAAGAAGACGTAAGAAATATGAAGGGATCCTACTGGTGGAAGCGGGAGGTTGCAATGGACAAAAGAGGTAGGTAATAAACTAACCAACAACAACTCACCGGAGACCCAATAGTTAGTTCATCATTGTCTCCCTTAGTCTACGGGAACTAACCATCTCAACCGATAGGATCGCTCCATACTCCCAACTCCCTATGTCTTTCATGTCTATCCTTTTATCTATCAATTTTCACAGTCAGCCTGCTAGTCTAAGGCTCATGTAAGTACAATCTGTCTGAACACAGCACCAAAAAACAAAATTTTAAGTTCTTTAGCTGATAGAAAACTAGCTACCATCAAATTTAAAGAAACCTCTTTCGACAACAAAAACGTTTTTTGAGTCTACCTATGATACTTTTACACAGAGGGACAGCTTCATTTTTAAAACATTTTCAATTCTGTCCCGAACATGATTGACTCATTTTTTTTCCCTGCTTCCATCCATATACTACTCCATTCAAATTTCACTGAACAGGACCATTCAATAAATAGCGTACACCTCATGGAGCTTTCTAAAGGATGTAACATTATTTTTTAAAATCCATTTTGCAGAATGATGAGTTGGACTGCATTTTGAAAAAAGGAACCAACTTATTTGAGTCATTTTTGAAACAACAGATCGATGACTCAGTGTAGGAAATGCTTATCTCATTTCTGCCATGCGAAGGAAGAACGTTGTATAGGACATTGCCAAATTTCCTTTGATAAAATACGTCTCTATGAATATTTTTCAGAGAATTTTATTTGCACTCAAATTTCAATTATCGGAAAATTTTGAGCGGAAATATTCATAACTCTCTTTATAAAAATTTACTGGAGAAAATTTGGCAACTCTCAAAGGTTTACACAGCGTTTTTCATTAGCACAGCAGAATTGCAGCATTTGAAAATCTTGGATTATGCTTTTTCTCCTTCAAAGACGATGAATTTAAAATTCTTCTTGCAATGTTCTGTAATCTTCTTAGAATGAAAGAAGGAAATTCCCTGAAAATTTCAATTCTAACTGTTGGTTAGTTTTTTTCTAGAGAAAACTACAGCATCACAAACTGATATATGCTTTTTCCTGCATTGACCATTGATAAGGCTTGTACTTTTTAAGCATAGATGTGCTCTTACAAATAAGCCAAAAACTCATTAGCCCTGGCTTCTGTTGATTACACAGGATGCTAGGACTCATAAGTTCTTGGACATATACTTTTTTAGCATGCATTAATTTGTATAAGTGTGATGAGTTAGTTCTTTTTAGCGCCAAATGCAGTCTGATGGATCAGAAAGGTTCTTCAACTCTTTCTGAAAGCTAAATACTTATTCATGAATGCAGATACTGCAGGCTGATAATTGGATGTATTTCTATCAAACGGAACTATGTGCATTTAGACATGAGCCCTGAGACCCATTAGAATACATGCATAACAAAGCTCACGTCATAATGCACATTGTTATGTTTGACAGAAATACACCCAATTGAGATTTATAAACAAAGCAATAGGCAAAGAGAAAAAAGGGAACGGAGCGATCTTATTGGTTGAAAGAAGTGGTTTTTACAAACTAGGAGAAATAAAAAATGATGTACTAACTATGGGGTCTCATTAGGTAGGCCACGAGTTAGTCTATTACATACTTTTTTTGTCCATTGCAACCACCCACTTCAACCGATAGGATCGCTCCATTTTCCCTTGTCTCCTTCGTCTATCATTTTGTTCAGCAATGTCAATTATTAGCCTGTATTTTGGAACAACTGTACAGAAACCAAATCTTGACTATAAGGATACAAAATTTTGAATCCAGCGAGCTGATTATTGAAATGGATAGACAAAGCGGTAGACAAAAAAGACAAAGGGAAAATGCAGCAATTCTATTGGTGGAAGTGGAACAGCAACCATACGTTTCAACTAATGGGATCAAGACATGCCTAAAATTAGAAGTTATAAAATTGATATTCTTCTTAGACAAAAATTAGATCGAAATTGTATAAACATATCTTTCAAATTTAATAAACGTTTGATCAAAACTTTACCAATATAAAATCAAACTTTACAAATAGTAAGATCGAACTTTGACAAAAATCCAATTAAAATTAAGAACATATTTGATCGAAATTTTAAAAACACTTGATCAAATACGAAAGATCTTTCATGAAAACTGGAAAAATACAAGTTATCACTTTATAATTTGACAAGTATTCCCCTAACAGGTTGTGTGGAAAATTGTACATTTTGGTGCCAAATGAAAGTCTTTTATTTGACGGGATGTTCTTTACAACGTTGTGAGCACCTCCAGCTTTTGAAAGTAAAGTTTCTCAATCAAAATTAGATATTCGCACACAACTTTAAATTAAAAAATTTCTTCCATTTCATTATTAAATTCACTTAAATAATTTTTTATAACTGGACTAGAAAATAAAGAGACACATAAAAGACAAATATCTTCATCGATCCAATCTATGAACACCAGATAATTGGTTGCCATTAACAGAGTGAAGAAGTCTCCATTCTTCGAACGAATGATCACATACTCGAATAATTTTATGTAGTATGTACGAATTTGCACAGCACTTCAGCAAAAATTGACTATTCTTTTAAGGTAATAAAAATATTCTTGTTCATACTAATTGGACAAATTGAACAAGGATGAGCCTAGCTGGATCAGACGATGCCTATTGTACTCTGATTTTTTATTTTTTGACCCCAAATCCAGGCAACACTGAAACCGGAAATTTTGAGAGTGTACCCTTCATAAACAAAGGTAAAGTCACTTGAAGTTTGAAAGCGTTGAATGGTTTAGTTCTCTGAAAAAAAGAAAAGAAAAAAAAGATGACAGCTATGCTGGATCGTTTTAAATTTGTCCAATTTAGTAACCTTTAAATGCAATAAAATATAAATATTGAACCTTCAATTGACAAAATTAGACCCTAGGATTTTCAGAAAAATAAAAAGAAGGAATAAATGGTCTAAAATACAGAGAAAGTTCGTGGAAATAAAAAAATCCTCACTTGGAGGCCTTAAGAAAGGAAAGAAAATATTTACATAACAAAGCATACAAACACATCTATCGATGCATTGAAAAGATGGTCGTTAAAAATTGACACACAATGAGAAATTTGATACAAAAAGAGAGACAGAAAAAGAAGAAAATGATAAGGTCGTTTTTCCTCAATTAATATGCCTCAAAATATACTTTTATTTTACGAGTAAATACAAATTATTCTTCGAATTTTGTTCTTCTTGCTTCATAAGGGACCGGTAGACGATAAGGCACAACTTTAAGCATTAGGTATGACACATGAATCCCCATTAAAATTTGACGTGAAACCCGATTTTTACCACGAAAACGACTGAAAGTACCTCCCAATAAAGACATTTACGTTTTTCAATTCATAAAGTCAAACTTCCCTCTGATAGAAGAAAATGTAATCTACTTGAGTTAAACTGCACACTAAACATTGCCGTGAAGTTCTCTACAATACGAAAGTAACTTAACCTCAATCTCCGTGCTTCAGCTCAACTGTTACAAGTTGCGCAATTTGATTCATGTGGACTTTTGTTTTTCTTAGGAGGGGGGAATTTTGATTTTCGTAACTAGTGCTAAATAAAATTGTTGATGTCTTAGCTGGGAGTCGATTCTAGTAATTTTTATTGCGTAAATCATGTTCTGCGGGTTTGAAGAGAATACACATATAAGAATGCTTAAATTCATACCTTGTCTAGTAGTCCATTCAACTTAAAAAAGAAAAAGAAGGGTTTCCCAAAACGTACGTTTTGAAACTTTTTTTCAGACTTTTTCAAAGCCCTAATTTAACAGTTGATGATACTGGCAAGAACTAGGCTGCGATCATTTTCATAAAACAAAAATTCTACGTAGAGAAATGACTTGTGCATGAAGTAACAGCTTAAGGAAAATACAATCAAACAAATTAAAGTGCTCACATATTAAGAGGTTCCAATGATTGGCATTGCTGCCAGAAAGTTCTAGATCAAGTTCCCCATTTAAATTGTGTAAACTGTCCTCATTTTATTGCATAACTTGGAAACCTTGATTATTTTATGGACATAATACGAATTAGGAATATCCTCCGCTTTTGTGATTCAGTTGCAAGGTGGCCACAGTAGACAGAATTCTCAGACTTATCCTGGTTCTCTAGAGGCGAGTTGTTTTTGGTGACTCTTTTCTATATTCCCTCGATTCTCTTTGTTCTCTGTGAATTTTTCTTGTTTTCTCTGAATTTTTACTACTTCCCCTGAATTTCTCAGTTTTTCCTCAATTTCTTCTCTTGTTCCTGAATTTCTTCTCCCTTCCCTGAATTATTCCTTCTTCTTCTCTCTCACATTCGTTTTTTCGAATTCTTTTCACTTTTTCCCTGGCTTTGTTTGTCCTCCATGGCCGTAGATACAAAATATCACATAACTTTATAAGATGAAATTCTTTAAAACTTGCACTATGGATTCAGCATACTATAAAACGCACAGACAAAGTAAAATGTTGATTTTGAAAAAAAAAATATCATGAGTCAAATGCCAAAGTTTTAAATCGAATTTTCAGATAACTACAGTGGAGCCCGTATACAGTGAACTCGCTTTTAACGAAGTTCCGGATATGACGAGTTTTTCTGAAAATCGTGAACTTCGTTATATGCGGGCTCTACTGTACTGCCAATTGCATATCCAGCCCTTTAAAAATTGCTGGCATTTCACGGCAAAGAAATTTAATTATGCATCTCTGTCCACGACTTCCTAAAATCCTTTTTTCTAGGGTGTCATCCCTGATTTCTTTCAGTTCTCTCTGACTTTTTCCATATTCCTTGACTTTTCACCATTTTCTCTGGTCTCCCTCTGCTTTTTCCCTGATTTTCTTTCATGAGATCTGGCTATTTCTCGTTTCCAATGATTGGCCACAATTTTCACTGAGATTCCTTCTCTTCCCATGAAATCTCAAAGTTTTCCCTCACTTTCCTACATCTTTTGTTTCTCCTGAATTTTAAACCATTCATCCCCTATTGTCTTCGACGTTTACATTTTCCTAACTTCTCTCCATTCCATGAACCTCTTTCCTTTCCTCAGACTACTCCTTTTCTTTCCTGATTCTATTTCAGTGTTCTCTAATTTTTCTCGATTTTTTTTGACGTTCCTGCTTCTTCTTATCCACTACATTTCTCCTAATTTTCATCCATTTTTCCAGACATAAATTTCCCCCAAATCCTCGATTCTCCCTGATCTTGGCCACCTTGAAACTAGAAGTTCAGAGGTTCGAGAAAAATCGCGAATCGGAACCCCAAGTTGCGATGTCCATGCTCTGAGACACAGGAGCTAGGAATATTCCCCGAGACGTACGCTTCCTGGGGATACAATGTGCTTTCGTCAAAACTGAGCATGGAATGCAGGAGTGACAGATCCTTGCTAAACTGACAAAAGGGCATAACTACACTTCCGGATGAGCCTGGGAAAACATTGAATTGTATGATCTGCAATTTTGCCAGACTGTGCTGGGAAAATATCGAAGTTTAATTGCACAACCTGGCAACTTGGACAACAGGATTCATCACGGCCGTAGTAAAGTTACATTCTTTTGTCAGAAGGGAGACAAGATGATCGTAGATGCTTTTTGTGTCTAATCGTACTCGTGACTGCTTTCGCGCTTTGAGAGGAGTAACGATGATGTGTCTTTCTCGTCGTCGTTGATGGTCCTGGATAGTTTTGTGAGTCCTTCGGTGACCCCGCATTGACTGATCCTAGAAACAAAAAGAGTTGAAAATTAGAGAAAATTGCGAGGAAACTTTTGTTGACTTTTGAAAAAAAAATTGATGCATCGCGGATGTATCGCTGGGAGATTGGGCAATTTTTGTGGGGTTGTTTATTTTTTTTAATGTTATCATTTTCTATCAATGTTTTATTGTTATCTTCTACACGGAATTATAAACAATTTTCTTCGATTTTGAATCAAGAGCAATAATGTCTCAACGGATTAGAGACAGAAAACTATGGATGATGACGCTAATACCCATAAAGACTTTAAGAATAGGAGGGTTGAAAATTTAATTTTTCAAGACTTATCCAAAATAAGAAAAAATATGTTTGGATCTTATCTTCAAGCTAAAAAAACCCATTCTTTGGAGAGGCTGATTTTTGTCAAACTAAAAAGTGCTGGGAAAAGACCGAAGAGATTTTTAGCTGCAGTGGATAAAAAAAAACTGAGGAATGGACGCAGTCTGAGCTATAGGGAATAGATTGAAAATTGCAATTGTTATATGAGACATGTATTTTTCTCCAGAAAAATCTGTTATAAGGGAAAAATCTGATTTTTTTTTTTTTTTGAAAAATCCAAACTTACAAAAAGAACAATTATTTTCCGAATCATTGCTAAAAATCTCTCCAAAACAGTTCTGCAGTCAGCATGAGATTTATTACGATTTGGTCTCGATAAAAATTTTGAAAACAAAATCTCCTTGCCGAAAGTTGAAAAAGTAAAGTGGAATAGAATTAAATAGAAAAAATGTGCACTATTTTTGGACTTATTTTCAAAGATTTAATTGGGTCCAGCCTGACTACATGGGGCGTTGTCAAATTTCTTTTGATGTTTTATTTTTTTGACAGAGAACAAACTGCCGTGAGAGCAAAGAGAGCAGTAAATGTAAAATTTAAGTTTTGAGAAAACGGGCTCAGAAGCTTCTGAAAAGAAGCCTCTGTTCTTTGTCAAATTGCCACTAATCGTCCAAAAGACTCCTAGAAATCATTTGGATGATTAAGAATCGACTGATTTTATTTCCATTACATAAAAAGGGTATTATTCATTTTCATGCTAAGTTATTGTTAGGTGAGACAGCCGTAAGTGCTATCTTCTGCATGCCTTCGTGGTTGCGTTCTAGACACACGACAAACGCATTTCCAGGTTAGAAATTCGCAGGAGAGGGCGGCACTTTACTTGAAAGCACTGTTTTCATCGGCTGTCTGGAGGAATAATGTCACTTACTGCTGTCTAGTTGAAACTACGTCATATTGTTGCACTTACGGCTTGCTCGCATGTCTTGTTTTCATATAATTAAGATGACTTTTGCTGTTTTAGAAATTTCAATGATTTCATCTAAAAGAAATTAGACGAATTTTGAAGGAAACTCGATTTCAAAAATTTAACACTTACAGCTCTCTTCACTATCACAGCAGTAAACTGCTTAACGTCTTTGAATTTTCTGTGAATTTACTTTATACTATGAAGAACATTCTCACAAATTTCAAGTTACAATGTTGCATAGTTTTCTAATTTAAAAATAAAGTATCAAAAGAAATTAGGCAACCTGTGATTTGCTAAGGGTGAGTCCAGTTAAATACGTCATTTGACCTTTCAAATAGATGCATAGCAGAATGAGATGTCAATTTTTAAAATAATATCATGGAGAAGGAATTCCGTAGTTTTCTTGATCTTTTTTTAAATTTTGCGCTCTTTCCGCAACCATCCATTCGATTGAGCCACTTCTACTGAAAAGTTATAAACTATTTTCTAGACCTCCAAGGCGAATCTGACTTCAATGTGTAGGTATCAAAGAAATTCCTGACTTTGTCTAGACTTTCTACATAGCTTTAAGCAGAGGACAAGTGCCCGAGAGGCCTTCATGCACCCTAAAATTGTTCACAAATTTCAGCGAAATGTTTCTCCTGGGTAAATTTTTCATTCCTTATCATAAATTTGAGACTCTGACTCAATTTTGAAGTTTCATCATAAGACAAAGGTAGTTTTCGGTACCTGAAGTTAGATCTTCACATGTTTTTTCCTGAAAATACTGAAGTTTCCAATTGTAAACTCAGAGTTGGCTGTTTCTTTCTTTGAATATGTTGTCTTTACAATGCGCACAAGACGAGATTTGAAAGGAAAACAGGCAACTTTGCAATCATGGTTAAATCAGAGCATATGCATGAAAAATTAGCTATTTTTAAGAGAACACAGGATATTTTAGGACAAGAACAGCCCTTACAATTTGCACCTGTCCTTTCATGACTTTTTTCTGACTTTTGAATCTTATATGAAAATTTTAGACTTTATCTAAATCTTCAGGGAACGTTTTCAAACTCTTTCCTGACTCATTTGGTAAAAGTACCTCACTTTATCCACTAACTCGACATAAACCTTGAATAAACTATTACTCCGATTCTACTTACACTATATCCATATCTTCATCATCATCGTCTAAACTGACTTGAAAATAAGGATTAGCAGAGGCTGGTCGGAACTTGTAGCCACTCAGGATGAAAAATATGAGGACAGTTCCCTCGTTAAACAGCTCATACAGCCATTCATACTGGAAAGGCACTGTAATCTGAAAAATTAAACGATGGATCGATTATCGACTCTGTGAAAAATTTAGATAGATTTAATAGAATACAATGATGGATCACTAGACAACAGGGTGTCTACTAAAACCGGCTGGCCGAAATTCAGTACTTTTACAGTGCTTTTTCAGTACATTCCCAAGAAATTCAGTACCTCCTTGACAGAAAAATTCAGACTTTTTCAGTATCTTCATTTGACGAAATTCGACAAATTTCATATATTTGAATTTCTCGCTCAAATTGCGATAAAAATGACAAAAATACCAGAACTTCTTTGGGAATTTTCGTACTTTTTCACTCGTAGCACTTCCGGACCACCTTTCAAAAATCAGTACTATTTCCAGACTTTCTGAAAATTCTGGACTTGTAGACACCCTGGACAGAGTACAAATTTAAGCATTCTTGTGTGCATTTCCTCTTCATAATTTCACTTAGAAAGCATGTTGAGCAATGAGAATTAATATAATTAACTCCGAAACGAGATTGTGATGTTTTCATTTAGCACTGAAAAATGATGAAAAATTTGAATGCCCGCTCACAAAAAAAACAGAAGGTAAGAATTTGACTTACTTTTAATAAATAAACTATGATTCTTGTGAAATAGACATAGCACACTATCATAATGTAGAAATGCCTGAAAAGTTTCAGCTTCCGGAGGTTGATGGCTGCTTTCCCATCAGTTAGCGATGCTTCTTGCAGATGCCGGATGGACCTGATAGGAAAAAAAAGGCAAATTTTTCAAACACATGAGGCTTAAAAATACTTGGAACTAGGGATGACAACTTCAGATGGATTACTTTAAAACGCAGATTTTGGGGTACAAATACCTGATATGAAAAAAAGCATCAAATTATTGGAGTCAATTTGAAATTGAAAGCATTTTTTCTACAAAACCGTTGGAATATTGCTGAGCAACCCTAGCTATTTTGTACCTCCAAAATTGAGTTTTAACGAAGAGCCGTTGAAAGTTTAGGAAGGCGAAGAAGGGAAATAAAAATTTGTAAGAAACGTTTCGTTCACAGACATACAGAGAAAATTTCATTGAGGTCTGAGACGATGGATTGAGCAGCAGGTTAAAACAATATAAAATGACCTACATGCAATATCTGAATGAAAGTAAAAATTTTGACGTTGCAAATCAGAGAGGAAGAGTGGAAACTGAGCAAAGAAATTTTACCAGACTACTGGGAATAAGATGGCGCCGCAGCAAAAGAGGTCAACCAGCTGGAAAATATCTGACCAGTTTCTATATTCGATATCCCCTTCTTCCGATTCGTCTACGATGATGTAAGCAATGTTTGCGAGAACCTGAAAAATAATTTACTAGATTAGATAGTACAGTAGATCCCTATATTCTTTCGTTTTCCTTGTTTTCATTGAAAATTTTAAGAATTTTTTCCTCTTAACCTTCCCACGATTTTTTTTAAAACGTTTAAATACAGTTTCCCCCTAAGAATTTTTGGAAATTTTACTGTGACATAAAAGCCTACGAAAAGGTTACCAAGAAATTCGGTGCCAGCTGAATTCCGGAATTATTTGATGACAATATTACTACCAGACCTGGAGTTAATGATTAAATATGATTCCTTACAGCCTCCTGCCGGCTGATAGGAAGAATTGATCGACAAAGGTAAAATGGAGGGACCCTATTGTTAAAAACCGGTGGTTGCAATGGACAAAAAAGGTATCAATGTCAAAAAGAAGTGGGCTGAAAATGGAATTTATCAGCCTTCTTAATTGCATTTTTTAAAAAAATATGTGGAGCTGTTGTTTTGTTTTTCTGGACCCTGCACAGCACGTTGTTATTTTTTGGAGGAATAAGATTCTTTTCATCTATTTTATCTTCTTCTTGGGCCGATTGTTGAAATTGATAGACAAAGTGATAGAAAAAGAGGATATAATGATTACAGAGCAATTCTATGGGTTAATTTGGGTGGTTCTCATAGACTATGGGGGTAAATGGTGGACTAACTAAGGGTCTCTCATGAGTTGCCGTTAGTTAGTCTATTACCTACCTCCTTTGTCCATTGCAACCAGTAGGACCAATTTGCCTGCATCAATAGGATCATTCCAAATCCTTTTTGTCTATCAATTTCAACAATCAACCCTCTAATATTCCAGTATTTCTGCTAGATATTGAGTGTAAAAATGCTGACAAATTCACTTTTCAGCCATTTTTTAAAGTGAGATTGGTACAAAAAGAGCTCGGTTTTAATAGAAAATCCTGCTCATTTGGCATCTTGTGAGGAAGTGAGGAACATCAGATGTAATAATAATTAAATTAATTAATAAAATAATTAATTTAGCCAGCATAGAATTTCTTGCTATCCTGTGCGTGGTTTTATTTTCATCATCTCTGAAATTTTGGAGAAGTTTTTGTTTCGTGGAGTTTTTGATTTCTTTAAAATGTTGAGGAATTGGCTTGGGGTGAATCATTTTTACCAAAAACACGTATTTTAAATTTTGTACTTCCATAAATTTAATAAAAAAACATTTTGGTCATGCTTACTTGAAGTGGAATGGCAAACATGAATATTTTCTTTTCCTTGTCGGAAAGAATGTACTTGATGAAGGTCCACCCAGTGCCGACGAGTAAAATCGTAATGATCAAAACCAAACCTTTCAATCTGAAAAAAGGTAAAATAAAATGATAAGGAAACATTTTCCAATTTACGTTTTTGAAAAAAAGTCATGAAAAAATTGGACAGATTTAAGTTGCCTAATGTTTTCGCATACTTTATTCTTTTATCAGAGAACTCAACTACATACTTAATGCCTTCAACCTTTCTGTGAATTTACTTTCAATTTGATTATGAAAAATATAGTCACAAAATTTTAAATATCAGTGTTGCTTAGTTTCCTATTCAAATAATAAAACATCAGAGAAAATTAAGCAATTCCTGATAAAGTTAGACTCTTTTCAACTAAATCTGTCCAATATGAAACAATTTCACACAAATTTCAAGAAGTGCAACAGCCATTCCTTGAAAATCAAGGTGAGTTTTCTTTTCACGTTCCAAAACATTTTGATGAGATTTCAATGTCGAGATAAATAGGAGAGCCACGCAAACTTTGAATTGATGCTTTTTATTTATACAATCAGTCAAACTGATGCTCATATGGACAGACAAATCACTATGTTCGTTACAGATTATAAACAATCATCACTATCCTTGATTCTATTGTGAAACTGGCAGGAAAATTAATTATTAAAGATAGGTCTTTAAAAAACAACTATGAATAAACGTAAAACGAAACGAGGACGTGATAAGAGGAGGAGGAAAAAAAAGCCCAATAAAAAAGAAAATGAAACACATTAGGGATAAGAAGCAAAAGAAAGGAAAGGAAAAGGTGCAGAAAAAGAGGAGCATAAAGAAGAGAAAAAGAAATAAAAAAAGTAGAAGGGATGAAAAGCAGAAAAGTAGAAAAAGGGAAATAAGAAAAATAGAGAGAACAGGGATCAAATGTGACGGAACAAAAGAGAGGCGGGAAGAAGAAAAGCTAGGTGAAGCTTGAAAAAATATTGAAAGAGGCAGGAAACAGGAAGAATAAGAAAGAGATGGAAAAACGGGAAATAAGATATTAAAAAGAGAGAAGAAAATGACAAGGAATAGTAAGGAAGAAGAGGAAAGAAAGGAAAATGGGCAGGAAAAGGTAAAGAGGAAGGGAGAAAAACCCTCAAAGTAGACTTACAAGTGAATGATGTAAAACATGATTGCCCACGAAGCGACACGTTCTCCTCTGGCTTCGATGAAATGATAGTTGATCCCGTGGAACAAAAGCGATAATGACTTGAGAAAAATGAGACTCGCCATCAGATAATGGATTTTGAAAACAGGATGCCTGGCAAAAAGAAAAAAATTAAAAATTCTTGAAATGATTATGATTGTAGCTCTAGCAGAATTAACTGATAAATTTTGACTTTTAAAATCGTTAAGCATTGCTAAAAAGTGCGAGTCAGGGAAGTCTTTTTGTACTTATTAAAAGTAAAATTAATAAGAAATTTACCTTGAAAAAAGTTATGAAAAATAAATGGCTTTAAAAGTTTGATTTATTTTAAAAATCACACATGTTGATGCTATAACACGGAGTAAACTGCAAAATATTAATGGTCCAAATGCAAAACCACGTATCTACGTTGCGGTGTTTCTGTGTCTGATTCTATTTAAAAAGTCAACTTCACAGCTTGAAACTTTTACGGAATACTCTGCTGACTCAGAAGAAAAATCAAGGAATTTTTCGAGAAATTATTATGACTAGTTTTCCAAAGAAAAAATAAAGTACGACCAGATCGCAGACCAGATGCAACATCGCAATTGGAGATACGTGGTTTCGCACTTTGGCCATCGATATGCGACGTCAAAAATTTAAATTTGTTTTAAAATTATTTTCAGCTGTCTAGGGAAGATCATGGTGTCTAGGAAGCTTGAATATGATGTTTTCCTGATTTTTCTCTGATTTTCAGGAGTTAATTCCCTGATGAGAAATCAAGGTTTTCTCAATTTTCCCCAGGATTTTCTTGGGAAAAACCACATAAACCTGCGAAGTTTCAGACATGAATATCGAATTTTTTAATCTTTCAACCAATTCGTAGGTGCACATTCAAATTTTTGATTCTAATACTGTCAGTACCGCCACATCCTATCTTGGGCCCTGGGACCAGCACGGAAAAAATTAAATTGCTGATTTAACAATTCAATTGCTAAAAAAAGTGACGGCAATATTCCAATGTAGATTTCACAACAACAAAATGCTACTTTAACCACTATTGTAAGCTAATTTAACTACGGGAGTGCTTAAAGTAGCATTTTTTTGTTGCAAAATCCACATTGAAACATTGCAGTCACTTTTTTTTTTGCAATTGAATTGTTAAATCAGCAATTTAATTTTTTCGGTGAGTTTTAAGGTCCAGGCCCCATGACTGCCACCAACTCCTCCCCTCCCCTCCTTAACACCAGAAAAATTTGCATTGAAGTTTGCAAACATTGAAGTCGAGGACGCCTAGACTAGTGGCTCTTCGCATTAGACGATGGAAGAGAATGAATTAAGAATATCATTCTACACTCATGAAAATCTTGAAAATAGATAGAAATCATCGAAGAAGTAAGAAGGATCCCACAGTGCCCCAGCATGTTTTAGAGAATTTACTCACCTTTTGGAAAATTTTTGAGGTAAATTGACCAAAGAGGTGCTTGAAATTATCGAAAAATTTGAAAAGGATATGAATCTAAGCGGTAAAAGAAAAGATTCCTGGTATCTGGAAAAAGTACCAGATTTTCCCTGCGAACTGATTATTGAAATTGATAGACAAAGCGATAGACAAAGACGACACAGGGAGTATAAAGCGATCCTATTGGTTGAGATGGGTGGTTCTCATAGACTAAGGGGAAAAATGATGAACTAACAATAGGGTCTCTCGTGGGTTGCCGTTAGTCTGATACCTACCTGCTTTGTCCATTGCAACCACCCGCTTCCACCAATAAGATCACTCCACATCCTTTTTGTCTTCTTTTGTCTATAGCTTTGTCTATCAATTTCAATAATTGGCCCGCTGGTGAATCCCGGGTTTTCCCGGTCCTGGACACCGTGGAAGATACTCACCGACTCAAGAGAAGTGTGTGCATCCAGAGGCAGCCGAAGAAGAAGAATATCATGGACATGCTGAAGTAGAGGGTGGGCAGAGGCTGTTCGCCGGCCGACAGGTAGTTGAGCACGTTCCTTTCCTCGATTTCCATGACGAAGTTGAGCCGCACCTTGGGCTCGGAGAAAAGGACTTGGTAGTTGCGGCAGTTGTGGAAGAAAAGGTGATACAGGCCCTCTTCCTTCTCCGACGGGATGATCGCCGTGAACTGGTGGGTGAAAAAAGAACACTCATGTCAAGAGAAATAAATGTAATAGTAGTAGTAGTACTAGTAGTAGTATTAGTTTTTTCGTACTTAATTTATTTCGAAACTCAAAAGTAAGAGACATCTAAAGTGTAAACGCGATACAACTATTCTCGCAAGATGGATGTTCACATTGCATTTATGAAAAATGTAAGACGCGATGGCGTGAGTCGTGAACTCGCAATGCTCTGCTCTAGTTTAAAGCAACATTACAAATAAGACAAACGGAAACGAACACAACATGGGAATAGAGGGAGGGAAAGGATGTGCGTTTGCGACGGCGCAGAGATACAACTATTCGTACTTGATGGACGTCCGTGCTGCGTCTGAAAAATTGAAGGCGCGATGACGCGAAGCGTGACCTCTCGACGCTCTGCTATATCGACGGTGAAACTACCAAACCACGTATCTCGTTTGCGGTGTTTAAAAATCTACGCTCACATTTTATTTTTTTGAAGCAGACCAAATCAATATCATTCCTTGAAATTTTCACGGATTTTTTTCCGCACAAAGAGGAAAAATCACAGAAATTTTCAAGACTGGATGTTAAGTAGTTTTTCATTTAAAAACTAAAATATGACAGGAAGTCTGCGACGTCGCAAACCGAGATACGTGGTTTGGTAGTTTCACCGCCGATATGTTGTCAATGAGGTGTCGCTCGGATTCGAGAAAAGAGTTGAAATAGAGCACGGTTCGTTTCAGAGGAAGGTAAATGAAATTGTGTTGCCCACTCAAAATTCCTTCGGGATCTTGAAGTAGGATGCATACACAGTCATTTAAGCCTAAAATGAAAATATTCTGTCGAGCTCTTCGAAAATAAAATCGATTTTTGTGTTTTTGGCGCTAAAATGGCCTTCAAAGACGATCGATGATTCAATTCCGATGGGTTGTGCATATGTAAAATGGTACATGTATGATGGGCTCTACGTATTTTTGGACCAGGAATCGATTGAGCAGGGTCCTGAATCGGTCCGAAGCTTCATTGACTGAAAAATGGGCCTTTCTTGGATTTTAGGGGTGTTTTGGGCCCATTTTCCCCCAATTTTGGCGTGAAAAAACGTGTGCCATCATGGATAATGATTATCGGGTCATTTCGGGCGGACCATCGAATGCACTTGGTCCCGAGACACTCCGGGGCTTCCGGAGTGATACAGGGTTTTCGAGATACAGGGGATCAAAGTCCCCGATTTTCACTCAATTCTGCAGGTATTTTAATGTTCAATTCCGACTATAAATTGATTTCTGATTTAGATATCGAAGCGCATTTTGCGGTGGTTGATTCAGCTAGTGAGGGTTTGTGAAATATGTAGAAAAATTCACCACACGTAGCTGAATCAACCATGAGCCCATCACACATGTACCATTTTACATATGCACAACCCATCGGAATTGAATCATCGATCGTCTTTGAAGGCCATTTTAGCGCCAAAAACACAAAAATCGATTTTATTTTCGAAGAGCTCGACAGAATATTTTCATTTTAGGCTTAAATGACTGTGTATGCATCCTACTTCAAGATCCCGAAGGAATTTTGAGTGGGCAACACAATTTCATTTACCTCCCTCTGAAACGAACCGTGAGAGGCCCGAACACATCTCTCCTACCTTCGGCTGTGTTATTCACGTAGTGCTTGAGCACAATTACGAATAAGACAAACGCAAACAAACACAATATGGAAATAAAGCGAGGGAAAGGATGCGCGTTAACGACGGCGCAGAGATACGACTATTCGTACTTGATGGACGTCCGTGCTGCGTCTGAAAAATTGAAGGCGCGATGACGCGAAGCGTGAGCTCTCGACGCTCTGCTATATGTTGTCAATGAGGTGTCGCTCGGATTCGGGAGAAAAGTTAAAAAAGAGGCCCGAACACGTCTTTTTTGTCGTCGGCTGTGCTGATACTCGCTCTTTCTTCTTTTTTCAGGTTCTTGCCTTATTCTTTTTTTTAAAGATTTTTAGACCCACGTCTTAAGCTAGTGTAAACCGCAGCACTGACACGGTTCTTAAGGAAATAATGGTGCTTGGATGCATCTAGTGGCTTTAATTTTTTTATTCTTTCTTTAATTTCAGAAGTCTGTCGGTCACTTCAATAAGTTCAATTTCACAATTTTTACTCTGTACCATTAATAAACTTTGAACCTGAAAATTGCGTAAACTTGTGCTGCTTTGCCAAAATTTTCTGAGCCCCTCTCCACGAAGGGGATGCCCCATCAGGAAATATCACATTACGCCCCTTTAACCAGCCAAGGGTCTACGCCCTCAAATGCGAGCCAGTCCGACCCTGATGAGCACTGATGATGGTTACTAAGCCGAAAAGCTTTAGTGACCATGATTAAAAATATTTACATGCTATCTTTCGGTTGAATTGGATCGCGTTGAGCAGAAATGAACCAAGCCACATCAGCTTTGGCCAAATGTAATTGATCAATTTAATTTTTTACATGAAAACGATTATGCAGATTTTCGGCAAATTTTCTGCATCGTATACGAGGCAAATTCCTTAACATTTTCAAAGGAATCTGTACAAACGGTCTCTTTTGACAGGTTGAATTGCCTGCTTTTGGGAATAGCTGATGTGGTTTGGTTCCTGTCTCCTCAAAGTGGTCCAATTCGTTATCAAAAACACATTAATTTCCTACTTCCTGTGTTTCTGGTCATTGACTCACCTCTCCGGACATTCTCCTGTTTTTCTCAACTTTCTCCCGTATGGATACCGTACAGAGGATTTTTCTATTTTCCTGGCTTTTCCCTGATTTCACGGTTTCGTTTTGACTCCCATAATTTTCCTCCATGCATCTATTTCGACGGTCGTATGTTCCAGTGGCGTGGCCTACTTTGCAATATATCGATTGACCTGCCGCTTAAACCTATGGAAAAGGATCGATAGACAGGGGTCTCTGCAACGAACGCCATAATAATCGATTCTTCACCACAGCTTCAAATAGGGAAATATCGATAATCGAGCATTGCTGCCTCGCCACTGTTATGTTCCATGACTGAAGTGGACTTACGGTCGTGTTGAAGTATTGTCCTGTTTCGTCCACGTCGATCGGCAGCTCTTGAGAGCATTTCACGTCTTTGAAGATTCGTTGTCCTGCAACAAATGAGAAATATAACAGAACATGTCAGTAAAAAACCAAATTTTACATTTACTTGCAACAGTGAAGACAAAAAAGATATTTTAGGAAGTTAAATTAATGACCCAGGTGGTGCTTGATGCCAACTTTCAGAGGATGAAAGGCATTTTTTCAAAATTTACAGTCCTTGAAACTTGAAAGTGAGCTATCCGTGTGAATTTGATACAAATCATATTTTGCCCCTGCCCCTCCTCCACCAGTTTTGGCGTACCCCAAAATCACTTGACGTCCATAAGAGGACCATAGATATGGTCTTTCATGCAGATTTTGAATGGAATTGAAAAGACAGATTCTGAGATATATGGCTGTGCACAGAAAAATGGTACGCCTGACGGACGGACACGCATTTTTTCAAGTACACTGGAAAAAAAACACATTGGATCTAGAGTCCAGACTCTTAAAAACATCGACAAGAAAAAATACTCTTGATTCAATCAGATTTAAGCTTAAATCGAGAACCAAGCCTCTAAATTTAAGCGGATTTCGTTTTGATTCAAGCAAAAATCCGATTGAATCAAGAGTATTTTTTCTTGTCAATGTTTTCAAGAGTCTGGACTCTAGATCCAATGTGTTTTTTTTCCAGTGTACTTATGTTTATTTTGACTTTAGGCACCTTCAAGCGCCTGAAATGATGAAATTTCAACTTTTCGTTTTTCTTGGGCGATGAAAATACTTCCTCTACCTGCGAGGAGAGCGAGAAAGTAAAAGTACGTATTCACCCAATCTGATTCATGTTACCTCCTCAAAATTTTACGTGCAGCACGATCCGCGCAACCAAGATCCATTCCCCAACAAGATATTAATGTTTTTTTTAGTATTGGTTACGACAAAGTTGAATTTCCCGCTCACAAGCAAAAAAAGATTCTACATGACTCAAATCGCGCATCACAGTAGTTTTGGCAGGCCTCTGAATAATCATATTCCTTTCCCGTCCTGCGTTGTTCATAGAGTAGTTATTCAAATAGTGTTGTTCAACTTGCAACAGCTAAGCTGAAGCACCGAGATTGAGGTTGTCATATTTTCATACTACAATAACTTTCCCCAAGTAGCACAGTGCAACAAAAATATTGAAAAAAAATTTGTATTTGATTTCAAGAAAATTGTACTTTTTTACAATTAAATTGTAATATTTTTACATCATTTAGTCGATTTATGCCCATTTTATACAACCAATAAATGAGCTCTATGTGTTAGAAAGATAGGCAAAATGCTATGCAATGAAAAATTGCAACTTATTTCAATTTCATTGCAATATGTCTCGATAAATGATGCCCCTTCAAATAGGAGCTAGGCAACATACACAACACTCGGTGGAATTGCAATATTTTTACGATGCAATTGCTACTCATTGCAATCTGTGCTACTTGGGTACGGTAACGTTTAGAATGCGATTTAACTTAGGTAGATTATGTTTTTTTTTTTTTTTATACGAGCGGGAAGTTTGAATTTATGCACCGGAAAATGATAATATCTTTGTTTCGGGATACTTTCAGTAATTATTTCCGTTGTACCAATCGTGTTTTACGTGTACTTTTACACGGACTTTTTATGAGAAACATAAACAGAGTTTCCAAATTTCTTCATTTTCCAAATCTCTGATTTTCCTTGAGGTTTTTTGATTCTCCCTGACTCCAAAATATTGCATTTCCTAACTTTCCCGACCCCTGAACTTAACTTACATTTACGTTATTTTTTCTTTAACCTACGCTGACTTCTACTTTAGCAGAAATTTGCTCGCGAATTTCCCTAACTTTTCCTGTAAACTCCACCCCCCCCCGCTCGAGGTTTCTGGATCCGCCTATGTTGCATCGGAGATACGTGGGATTTCCTCATAAAATATAAATAATTTTTCTGATCTTTTGCTTTTGTAAAATTAACCTAAAAAGTACTGTAATTGACGGTTAAAAAATTGGTGTTTTTTTGGTGTTTCGAATATGCTTAGGTAGACTCGTACAATCGCATTCAGCCATCGACATCATACTTCAATGCGCGCCATGTCTATTGGTCCAATCATTCTTATTTTCTTTCCTCTTTTGCCATTTTTTATGGTGTCTTTCATATCAGTAAGTGGAAGGGTTTGAATCGTGGTTTTGAGTGCGGACAATGACGTGGACCACGGTCAGGCCGGGCGACAGGTGGTGACGGAGTCCCGACCGACCGTCGCACAGTGGGTCGAGTCAACTAGAGACGCGAACATGAAATTGTTGACAAAAACTGCAAATTTTTACGTTTATTTCGTCATATTTTAAACTTCAAGGAGTGCTTCTAAAAGAAAATTTCACGAGGAAACCAACGAAACCACTTTTAGAACCTCAAAGTTTTGTGTAAACGGAGTTATAAACGTTTGAAGTTTCCGAATTTTGTCCGACCTGTCCTATTGACTTGGTCCACCGTGCGGCGGACGATTCGGTTTCACTGTCGGAGTGCGAGTGCGGCGAGTATGCGGCCTTGTTGCGGGATTAATACCGCGGTAAAAAGGAGGTGCAAGCCATCTTCGGTAATGTTACCGCGGACGGAGCGCCATGCGCCATGCCTCGGCGGCGGCGTCAGATTGGGTCTCAAAAGAGGATAAACAGGAACGAAAAACAGCACGAAACGAGGCCGTTTTACACTGCCGTGGTAGCGAAGAGAGCAGTAAGTGTCGAATTTTCGAAATCGGGTTTCTCTCAAAATTCGTCTAAACTCTTTTAGATGAAATCACGGAAATGGCTAAAACAGCAAAATTCATCTTAACTGTATCAAAAACAGACACATGAGCAGTGCTCGAAAGTCATCTTTGAGTCTCAGGAGCCATGTGGCTAAAATGGCTAAATGGCTAAAGCAGCAAAATTCATCTTAATTGTATCAAAAACAGACACAAGAGCAGTGTTCGAAACTCATCTTTGAGTCTCAGGAGCCATGCGGCTAAAATGGCTAAATGCCTAAAACAGCAAAATTCATCTTAATTGTATCAAAAACAGACACACGAGCCGTGTTCGAAACTCATCTTTGAGTCTCAGGAGCCATGTGGCTAATATGGCTAAATGGCTAAAACAGCAAAATTCATCTTAATTGTATCAAAAACAGACACATGAGCAGTGTTCGAAAGTCATCTTTGAGTCTCAGGAGCCATGTGGCTAAAATGGCTAAAACAGCAAAATTCATCTTAATTGTATCAAAAACAGACACATGAGCAGTGTTCGAAACTCATCTTTAAGTTCCAGGAGCCATGTGGCTCATCAAGCTCCATTTTTAGGGGCAATTGAGGATTTTTTTAAAGGGCAAAATTGACTTTTTGCCAAAATATCACGGCGCATTCAGTGAAAAGTTAGACGCAGCAATACAGAAACCGATCCTTGAAGTTTATGTTGGTTTGTGGATCGATTCAAGGACTTGGAGAAGACCAAGTGGAAAGAAAAAAAGAAGGAAAAAAGAGAAAAAAGAGAAGGACACGAAAGAAGGAGAAGGAGGAGAATGACAAGACAAAAGGAGAAAGAGGAGAATGACGCGAGAAAAGGAGAAAGAAAAGAATGCCAAGAAAAAAGGAGAAAGAAGAGAATAACAAGAAAGAAGGAGAAGGAGCACAATGACAAGAAAGAATGAGGAAGAGAAAAATGACAAGAAAAAAGGAGAAAGAGGAGAATGACAAGAAAAAAGGAGAAGGAAGGGAATGCCAAGAAAGAAGGAGAAGGAGGACAATGACAAGAAAGAAGAAGGAGGACAACGACGAGAGAAAAGGAGAAAGAAAATAATGACAAGAAACAAGGAGAAAGAGGACAATGACAAGAAAGGAGCAGCAGGAGGACAAATACAAGAAAACAGGAGAAAGAAGAGGATGAAAAGAAAAAAATTGAAAGAAGAGAATGACAGGAAAAAAGGAGAAAAAAGCAGAAGAGAACCAAAAGCGGAAAAAGAAGGCAAAAAGAAGGGGAAGAGTAAAAGAAGGGCGAAATCGAGGCTGGAGTAGGGCGCCGGAACTGCCGAAAGTGATGTCGGTGTCGCAACTCGCGTAAATCAAAGCATCGAGCATGTCATTCCGCCGAGAGTCTTTTCGCCCCCCCCCCCTCCCTCCAAACAGCTCCCCCTTATCCCCTACAGGGGGGTCACGATTTATTGCGACGTTCTCCGGAAAATCGCCGTACAAGCTTAGTGGGTTGACAACACTGTTTTCCCCTCCATTTAAATCTATTACAATATTCTATTCTTTTGCATGTGTTCAAAGAGGCCAAGTTTGGTGTCGCCAACCTGCCAGGATGAGCACTCATCCCCTGTGCGAGCATTCTTACCTTCCCCGATTTCATTTGATACATATAACACAAAAAATTACCTTCTCAAGCACACAGCCAACACTGAAAAAAAAAACACATTGGATCTAGAGTCCAGACTCTTTAAAACATCGACATGAAAAAATACTCTTGATTCAATCAGATTTAAGCTTAAATCAAGAACCAAGCCTCTTAATTTGAGCGGATTTCCTTCTGATTTAAGCTTAAATCTGCTTGAATCAAGAGTCTTTTTTCTTGTTAACCGCTTCTTGTCTACAGCTTTGTCTATCAATTCCCATCATTTTCCTCCTTAACCTGCTCAACCCACAAGATCGCACCACTATCTCGTCTTTTTCTTCGTCTATCAATTTCCGTTCTTTTCCTCCTTGGTCTACTCAACCCATTGGATCACTCCATTCTCCGACGTTTGTCTATCGCTTTGTCTATCAATTCCCATCATTTTCCTCCTTAACCTTAACCTGATCAACCCACAAGATCGCTCCACTTTCTCGTCTTTTACTTCGTCTATTAATTTCCATTCTTTTCCTCCTTGGTCTACTCAACCTATCGGATCACTCCACTTTCCCGTCGTCTTCTTTGTCCATCGATTTGTCTACCAATTCCCATAATTTTCCTCCTTAACCTGATCAACTCATAAGATCGCTCCATTTTCTCATCTATTTCTTTGTCTATCAATTCCCATTATTTTCCCC